GTGTGTGTGTGTGTGCGTGTAAGTGTGTGTGTGTGTGAGAGAGTGTGTGTGTGTGTGTGTGTGTGTGTGTAGGAGTGAACCTGCTGGTGGGAACAGAGAGCGGTCTGATGCTGTTGGATCGCAGTGGTCAGGGGAAAGTTTACCCTTTGATCAACCGACGGCGCTTCCAGCAGATGGATGTCCTGGGGGACCTTATTGTCTCATGTGTCCACTATTATCAGTGTACACAACACACACACACACACACACACTCATGCAAGAGAGCATGCACACACATTTTAAAGATGGTTTGATTACACTTTATGCAGCCAAATGAGTCCCACCGGGATGAAGAACTGATCAATGAGATGGACTGAAGCAAACATGTACCCACAAATAAGTCATGCAGACATAGACACAACAATATTATTATTAGTATTATTATTATAGTTCAATATGAGACTGAAGAGCCGTTTCACTTCTCTTTATCCTGCTGTGTCAGCTCATAGTCCACTGTCACGCTGGCAAGTGTGTGTGTGTGTGTGTGTGTGAGTGTTTTGTTTACTTCTCTTCCTGACTTGTACACATGCCCACACACTCCTGGAAATACACTTTAAACAAAACCTGCTTCATCTTATGTGTTAGCAGGAAAACCGTGTGCGTCTGTCTGTTCTTGCATAAATATTTTTAGACACACACAGATAGCTGAGTTCCAAGATTTCTCAGATTGACGGCGCATCCATGTTCTTACTTCTGCTCTTTCTCAATTTCACACACAGCGGCAGTGCAGTCATAAATGTCACAACAGATATTTTGAGATAAACGGATATTGAGTAAATCTCAGCTTGGTGAGACCAAATCGTGTGGTCTCTGTGTGTACGATATGACACACACTTGAGCTTTCCATGATGGAAGGAAATGCCAGAGTAACACACGTCAATTTCCTCCCATGAAACTCATTTGCGTTGTTGAGAAGTAAAGATACGCGTCATTGAAATTTGTATCCACCTCCACTGTAAAGCTGTTAGAACATTCAGGCCACATCTTGACAGGCTGGCCCATCAGTGTATGTGTGTTCGCTGCTTAATCTCTTATAAACGTATTATTCTTATGTATATCTTATGACATTACTGGATGTGGTTGGCAGTGCAGCAGGGTGCCAGCTGCCTCTGTGATAAACAGCTGCACGAAATGCAGATGCAAGAATGCATGAACAAGGTGTACTCTCTGGTTCTGTCCTTACAGATTTTTTTTTTTTACTTGACTGTGCACTTTGTTGCCAAAAGACACCTACAATAATAAGGGGTTTAGAAACGCATAACTGAGCATGTAATAGTACATTTTTAAATTCAGTTTTTCAATTGGACCAGTCCTCACCGGTACAAAGTACCAGCATGTCTGTCTTTTATCCCGTAACCATATATTGTACATTCAAGCTCCAAGACTGAAGATAATTTGAGTAATTCTGTAAATATTTCATTATTTTGTAGAAATTACTTTCCAGTATTCTTCTCACAAATATAAGTGTATTTTTATACAGAAATAGATTTCACTTGGGATGTGCAGTGGTCATACCAGGATTTGAGTTAGAAAGAAATGGTTAGAAAGAAAGAGTTAATGCTGGTTCAGAGCATAGGCTGTATAATTAAAAATGGAGGCAGACTGAAACTGATTTCTGTACCAGGCAGTAAAGTTGCTATAAAGTTGGGCATTTTAATATGGGGACTTTTGGAGATTGACTTGTTTTTGGAGCCAGCCACAAGTGGCCATTTAAAGATTGCAGATTTCTGCACCTACTCCCACACAAAACCAGTTGTCACTTAAGGGAAAAATGTGATTTTACGTTCAACTGAAAACAGTTAGTAGAAACGTGTTTAAGTGTTTAAGTTATATGATGACACTGGTATGATATGGATGGACAGCAAGGAGCTCATAAAATGTTTTACTGACTGAAAAGTATTACTTGAATTTGCCAAACTAGAAATCAGCTAAATACAGCTAAACAAAGCCAAACTATTTCGTTATTACTATTGTTTGGAAGAATAAACAAATTAAGAAGAGGAACTGCTGGACAATTATTGTTGTTCTGTCTGCATGTATGTGCACACACTGACACATAATGTTCCTCTACATGTTTTGTCCCAACTTGACCCACATTCACAATAACAAACTTACCAAATTGTTGCAAAACATTGCAGACATACAGGATGGAGGAGAAAAATCCCACCACAGGATCGTGAGATATGAAATGTGTCAATTAGGATTGATCGTTTCAGTAGTAAAAATAAGAAAGCAATCACTCAGACATATGTCAAATTGAAAATTGAAAATCATTGCAGCCTAAAATGAAATCTCAGCAAGCACACAGCAGCCAATAAGTTCTAAAATAACATTATAAGTCTTTCAGGATTACATTGAATTGTCAAAGTCCTGCAACACAGTATAAAGAAGAACTTTATTGTGAGACCAACGCATTTCACCTTGCATCGGGGTCTGCATAGACTGCAGGAGGCAGATTAGGCTGCAAAATTCACAAATGCAAAGTCAGCAGTATTTTAAAATTTTAGAGAACAGCAAACTAATTACTTGTGCCTCTTCACCCATTCTTTAAAAGGTTGAAGAAGAAAATAGATTTGAACCGTTTTGATCTTTCTTGATCAATGACAGGTAAGAAGAACAAGCTCCGTGTGTACTATCTGTCCTGGCTGAGGAACAAGATCCTGCACAATGACCCTGAGGTGGAGAAGAAACAGGGTTGGACCACCGTCGGAGACCTGGAGGGCTGTGTTCACTACAAAGTTGGTAAGTCACATTCTCACTATTACGGATTTCACCACATTTATGGGCATAAATACTGGAACGTTTGGCCTTCCCTGTGGCCTAGTGGTCTCAGATACATACTGTGTAACTGCAACCTCCTATCTCTGCTGTTACCCATCAAATGGAGGCAAAAATGCTAAATTATCTCAAGCTAGTTTATGTTTATTGTTGGAAAAAAAAAAAACTTTACTGTGGTGTTTCTAAAAGTCATTATCATTCATCCCTAATTCTAGTGATTGACAGTTTTAAATAACGTTGTTGTGTGTACGCTGAGAATAATGGTCTCTGGTGAGCTAACCCATCTGTGCTGTGTTATGAATACATGTTTCCCATCAAAAATAAACCCAGCCACATCTGGATTCAAACACAGGACTCAACAAATGTCACAAACTCAGTATAAGATACAGAGTGACTGTATGTTTACGAGACAAGCCTGTCGATGGAAGGAAAGCCCTTGATTAAGTAATGACATCCGAGTGGACATGTAACTGTCTAAAATTTAGAATGTCCTTGGTGATGGTAGTGCCACTGCACCAAGACCAGCACTTCCTGTTGGAAACTCCTCTCCACTGATCAGAGCTCTTTGTCGTGAAATCCATTTCCTGACGATGAGTTTTATTAATACGTGTGGTACGTCTTCATCGATGTCTCGTCACATACATTTTTGAGCAGCTGGCAGAGACAGAACCAACACTTGTGGGAAGTACAGGACTTTCCAAAGACAATGATTAAATGAGCGTTTGTAAAAAAAAAAACTCGTTTGCATAGTCCCAACTCTGCACAATTTTTTGTGATTGTCACCGTTTTACTGTACATTGGAAGTATTAAATTAAAGTGGATGGCAGCTGAACGTCTTCCATTGAATGAATCTCAAAAGTCATCGACTGATGATTGGTCAAAGAGGAGCAATGTAGAGACCATTTTAATGCTGATATACATTCAGCAACTTCTAAATGGTTATTAAATCTTCTTTAAATCCTCTCATATTTACAGCGTACAGTAAATTAATCATTCACATCCTAGAACAAGATACTGCCCTGCACAAGCCATGTTTAAGAGAATTATTATTATTATATATATACTGGGTGAATAACTTTCATTTTTATTCGAAAAATTAATTAATCCAGATGAAAATTAGCTTTTACAGATACAGAATTAAATGCAATCATTCTGTAGTTTGGGCAGGGATGGGCAGTTTTCAAATTTTTCTGTAAACGGCACTAAATACTGCAGCAGGAAAGGAAACAAATGAGTTTTATTGGTAAAGTGTCAAACCAAGAATCTATTGTCGAACAGCTACAGTGTCTCGAACAGAAGTTTAAAACGGTGGTGGATAACCTGCCAGTGGCTGGAGTCCACAGCAACAAAAAACGGACCCAACATTTTAGTGTGCAGCTGATGCTGTTTCCCATCCTGATGCCAATTGTAATATTTTGTGTTGTTCTAATGTTTCTGTTTTTCTTTTTTGTTTCCCAGTGAAATATGAGAGGATCAAATTCTTGGTTCTGGCTCTGAAGAACTCGGTGGAGGTCTACGCCTGGGCACCCAAGCCCTACCACAAGTTCATGGCCTTCAAGGTGAGTCAGTCTGTTAGCTTTGATGTCAATGACGACAAACACATGTACAAGTATGACATTAGTAAAGTGGATCTTTAGTGCATTTCTGGTGTATTTACAATTTATTTTGGTTTTTTTTCTTATTCTGAGATTGAATTATTTTTATCCAGCATGTTGATACTGCTGAAGATATAAAATAGGTCAAAGATCAAATTCTTACAGAGTTTGATATTTTACGTGTTGTTCAACTTGTATCAACATTGCCCTGGCAAATATTTACTGATGTGGTTGATTGAATAAGAGAGGGGAAAAAACTGTTTTTCTGACCTGTGTGCTTCAGTCTTTCGGTGACCTGGTGCACAAGCCGCTGCTGGTCGACCTCACCGTGGAGGAAGGCCAGAGGTTAAAGGTCATCTACGGCTCATTTTCAGGCTTCCATGCCGTGGATGTCGACTCTGGCGCTGTCTACGACATCTACCTGCCCACACACGTAAGACCACACAAACGTTACATCTCACATGTGTGTTTGCTGGTGCCTTAAAGGATATTTCAGCTCTTTACCTGGGTTCCACAGTTAAGGCAATCAAACTGAGGTTTGAGTTTCAACGGTTTGAATTTATGACTAATGGTCTTTTAATAGTTGTCTTACACATTACATACTCCGCTGATCATAGATGCCAAAGGCGCAGTTAAATAATGTCCTCTTGTTGGTGTTGCGTGTCCCTGCAGATCCAGACCAGTATCCAGTCTCACGCCATCATCATCCTGCCCAACACTGACGGCATCGAGCTACTGGTGTGCTACGAGGACGAGGGCGTTTACGTCAACACCTATGGACGCATCACCAAGGACGTGGTGCTGCAGTGGGGGGAGATGCCAACCTCAGTGGGTGAGTCACATGGGCAAAAGCTACAAAAACACACCTAACAGTTTTTTCCCTACATTTATCTCAATTAGTGATTCCCTAAAATAAAGCAATGTCTACTTGTGACACATCTTTATCAGGGAGTTGTAAACAGTTCCACCAAAAGGTGGTTTTTACCTTTCTGAGGTTGTTACACTTGTGAGTGATATTTACAGGCCTGAAAAATGTAAATTAAGTGACATATCAGAAGAACAAAGATAAGAAAAAGGAGATGGAGAAATTATACATTTTCTGTTGTTCTTTTTTCCTGACGTGGCCTGTCAGGCAAGACCCTCAGGTTTTGAACCGCTGAGCTTGATAAGCAACAAACTCACAAAGCAACAGTTGAACAAAAAAAAGTGATGATTTCACATATTTACACATTATTTTTTTCTATATCAGTTAAGAGGTTATCATTATGTATTGTACTTTTACTTCCTATAATGTGCAACTTTGCACATTGTTGGTTAATATATTCCTAATGGATTAAATTCTTAATGATGATTTGTTGATTATTGATGAATCATTATATAACACGTTTACATATGCACAAAGCTTTTGTATTGCAACTACACAAGCCACTTGCATTTATCCTGCAGCTGACACAACCAGACAACCATACACACACTAAAAAAGGCTTTGGAGCAATCTGCAGGAGTGGTGTATGTTCTAGGGCTGCGCAAATAATCGCAGAATTATCGAAATCACAATATATGCACTTTTTGGATAAAGATAAATATGTGTGACAAACAGCATTATAATAAAGTACTGTAGTGCTGCAGAGAGTCTTTAAATATAGCATTCTTTAAAAAAAATCAGTATATCAGTTAACACAAATACCTCTTTGCAGCATACATTCGTTCCAACCAGATCATGGGTTGGGGAGAGAAGGCCATAGAGATCCGCTCGGTGGAGACTGGCCATCTGGACGGTGTCTTCATGCACAAGAGAGCCCAGAGACTTAAGTTCCTCTGTGAAAGAAATGACAAGGTGAGACATTCAACAGCACATCCCTATCTAAGCAGTTATGTTATAAATGAACAAATGGCAGCGATGTAACAAGTATTCAAAAGCACAACATGTTAACAGAAATCCCTCTAAGGCATTAGAGAAGATGCAGTGGACACACGGATTTCCACACAGAGCATCAAACATGTCAGATGTACCATACCAAAAGCCACTCTCTGTTAGTTCAGCTCTGTCAGGAAGTAACGTTAAACTTCTCTAGTTTCTCTTCCCTCAACAATCAAATTTGTTCCCCTCTCTGTGTTTCCCTTAGCTGTGCATGTGCGGGAAATTATGTGAGCCTTGGAGTACGGTAACTTAGTCAATGAGCTAACTGGTGATTAGATTTCTTCAGCTAAGACATTTCTCGTCAATTGTTTTTACAATAGGAAATAAGGTGTTAGTCATTAGTGGGCAGTGTAATAGGAAAAAGCACAACTGTAACACTTGAGAGGTTCTTCTACATGACTGCATTCATTTCTTAGTGCAGGTAATACTGGAGATACAGATTTTTAGATTCAGATTCTGTCTGGACCTCTGCGGTTTGCTCAGATCTATCTATCTATCTATCTATCTATCTATCTATCTATCTATCTATCTACATTTCTTTTCCTTAATCCAAACAAAGCTGGGAAGCAGAAATTAATTGATGGATTATTTAATTTAAGGTATTACGTTAACCTGTCTGGATCAGATGGTTTGTTACACAGAACCATCTGGGAATGGATACTGGAAAAGGGCAGGCACATTCAAAAAATACTGTTACAGGTGATTGGATGAACCATTTGTCTGTCATGGTCTATCATGGGCAAAACTTCAACCAATCAGATCAACAAACCATATCAAACTCTTACCGAAGCCAGTCGGGAGAAGATCCATGGAGAAAAGCCTTCAATGCCGTTCTTTGCTTTTCAGTTCTGATTTAACTGATGCTAGCAGCATCTATGCTAACCTCTTTAGCAAGAATTGTTTGGTTTTTTTGAGAAAACAGCCACTTCTCACACGTTGTCATGTCATACACACGGCTCATGCTGTAGCTGCCAGTAGTTGCTAATATGATGCTGATTGCTTCGAAACACTGTGGTTTGGACAGAATTTTAAAGCTTGAAGCCTGGCAAGATGGATTCTCACTTGATCTGAGTATTATGTAGGGAAATAATAAAATCCTGGATTGTACTAAAATCTGTAGAAAATTATTTATCAGGGTCTACACTGGTAACAAAAAGATGGCAGCTGCCAGGTGTTTCCATTCCATTCATGTTTTCTTGTGTTCAAATTCCAACTGCACTGAATGATGACTGTGTGAGTGTGATTGTACCAAGTAGTAAAATCTCCGTCTGTGTCTCCTCTTCAGGTGTTCTTCGCCTCCGTTCGGTCTGGAGGCTCCAGCCAGGTCTACTTTATGACTCTGGGCCGAAGCAACCTGCTCAGCTGGTAGAGGTCCGCACCCTGCCCTCTTCCTCCTCCTCCTCATCTTCCTCATTGTCCTCCACCCTCACTAACACTGGATCTCAGAACCCACCGTCGATGTCTTGTCAGCACTCGGACAACCAAAAGAGAACAAAACCAACAACCAACCAGCCCTTTTGAAGCAGTCGACAACAATGACGTCACCTTTCCCCTGGAGCTGCAGCCCTGCTGCGTCACGGCTCCGGGGCCGCCTGTGACACAACCGGTCAAGTCACGCAGTCGTCGCCCACTGAAATACCCAAAGTGACGACTTGCACACAAAATAAAATCAATGATTAATTAATATATGAAAGAAAGTAGAAATAAATGTGAATTTAAGAAAAGGGGGAAAACGACTTTATGTTTCCCTCTCCGTTTTTCTTGGTGCTCATCAGATTGTGATGGGATAGATTTTGTACCTCTGCATCATTTCTGTGCTCCTGGGCTGGTCAGTAAGCTTGAGGTCTTCTAACTACTAGTACTGCTACCACTATTATTACTACTACTGCTACTACCTTCTGCAGGTCCGCCTCTTGTAAGAGAGTTCCCCCTCTGCCCGGTGTTCCTGCCCTCCGCCCTTTGTAATGAGAGTTTCATGGGGGCCAATGGGGTGGAAGTCTGTTGTATTAATGCTACAGTAGTGAGTGTAAATGTACTTCTGTTTGGTCCAACTACTGCTGACATGCTGGTTAGAGATTGAGACTGTCAGTCAGGGGTAAATTGTAAGACCCCGGAGCCAGTGGGGCTCGTCACGGTGATAAGCAGGTGAGAGGGGCCTAATATTTGAGGTTCTACTGTAAGTCTGATTGGACTCGGCAGGAGGGGTGTGTATGTGTGTTGTTGAAGTATTGTGTTGTTCGGACAGGTGCTTTAAAAAAGGGGATACGGAGAGAGAAAGAAACGTTGAAGCAGATGGATTTCAGAATAGTATTTTTTGAATTATTACTATTATTATTCCTTGAAGATAAGTGTAACTATGTGGAGTAAAACATGTCTTTTACCTTGTTTTTTAAGATTTACGCACATCCACCCACAGTTTGCTTGCTTTTACTCTGAACCCACAGAAGTGCAAGGTATGTTTGTCTAAGAAGAAAGTGATGTGGGTGTGGTCCAAAAAATAAAGTAAAATAAAATAAAATAAAGTGTCTATGTACAATAAAAGTTCATTTAATCTTCCAGATCAGTGGTCAGTGTTTTTCCCCCACCGGTCAAACAAGACGACATAAACTCATCTCTGGTAGGGCTGTTAGCCGATGTCTCTCAACTCGAGAAACTTGAACTGCTGTGAATAGTCAGATATAAAATGAAAAAAATAAATAAAGATGATAACGGAGGGATAAAGTAGAAGAGAAAGTTAGGTATGTGTGTGCTTGTGCGGTCGGAGAGTTCGAACGAATTGGATTTTCGTGGCAGAGAGGTAAACGCATGGTCAGCAAGTTTGTTTCAGCAGAGGAGTTCTTTCTGGAAGCCAGTTTTCTATCTTCCATTTCGTTCTTTCAAATCACTTTAATTTTTTGTTCCTATCATTTGTATGAATGCAATGCACTAAGTGTCAAGAATGTAGAAAGACATATTACTGTGTGGTGGTCCAAGGCATGAGATGATGTTTTTGCTTTGTATCTTGTCACAAGTGATCAATCCTAGATGTTCAATTTTCAAGTTAAAACGATTGAAAGCAACAGCGGAGCCTCTACGTCAGGTGTAGATATTTTCCAAGGAGGGCCATTCTGTATTTGTTTTGAAACCTTTTCCACAGCAGTGAGAATCTGTGCGGGAGCAAACAAGAGTGCATCAGAGCTGAGGAGGGCTGTTTGGCGTCCTACGAGTCCTGCTCGTGCACGTCAGGCACTCTTTCCAATCAAATGGGGACCTGAACCTCATCCTCATCAATTCTACACTCAGACTCTGAATGTCAGCGTTACTGTGATGAAGTGTCACAAAACAGGCAACACGGAGCAGAACTTTTCCTCACTCGGCTGTTTGTGAAGAACCTGAAGACGGAAACCCACTTTTTCGGGAAGGAATTGTTTTCTCTATTTCGTGCCCCCCACTTCTTGCTCCAGCTGTTATTTAAGTTGTCTGTATATGTGAAAGACTGAGCAGCAAACTGCAGCATCAATCTCCTTTTAGGCCATTGGCTGAGCTGGATTTTCCTCCGTTTCCACAGCGACTCTGACAGATTGCACATTGTTCACAAAAAGGGGCAAAGGAGAGTCCAATTTGTGCTTTCATTTCATGTTTAAACATGGCCTCATCAGGTCACGAACAAGTTAGCCTTGGGTGTGTTTTTCCCCTGACGATAATTACACACACAAGCAGTGTTTTGACACGTGAAAAGGTTACTGCCAGTCACTCAGTAACACTTTCTAACTTTTCCTTCCCTTGTGCAGAAAACAAGCTGTTTGGACCCCATTGCTGTGTTGTCTGAGGTCTGTGTGTGCAGTAGTACCCGGTGTGTGTCTCTTATTACATCAAGGCCTTGATGAGTGGCTGTATTGACTTCATGAAAAAATTGTGATCATTGATATTCTTTATGGGCTAAAAAAAAGGACGAGATGATATAAGTCTATATATCGGATGAGAAAAACTAGTCGCTTGCCAACTCACATTGGAAAAAGTGCCAAGAGGGCAGCATTTAAAACGTGGGAACCTATTGTTATGAAAACCACTACTTGGAAATCCTTTAAAAAAAAACAAAAAAAAAAAATCACTTGAAGCATTGTGTATTCTTAAGTTTTAGCGCTAGTCAAGAAGCTTAATAGTTTCTGTTGTTTCTGTAAGTCTATGTACACGTAAATATGCGACTGCGGTGGTTTAATATTATTACGCTCACCTTAGGTGGAGAAAATGTTTACAGAGGCAATGTTTTGTTACACTAATGTGCATCACGGTATTTATGTTTAATGCATATGCGTCTTGGTTCTTTAATTGTTTGTTTTTGCTTTTTGAGCCCAGTTTTTATTGGATATTTTCATTTGTCTGTCATCTCCCTCTACCCCACTAAATAACCTACTTACAAAACAATAAAGAACACACGTGTTGTTCATTTCAGGTATTCGCATAGCGCTGCTTTAAACGTGGAAACATTGCAGTTACGTTCCCTACAGGCTTGGACGTGAGGCGACGTGTTTTTCCTCTGCTGTTTCTGCCATGCTACTCTAACTTATGTCCTCTCTGTGTATGACAGGAAGTCATGTATTTTCCTGAATTTTTTTTTTCTTTGAATAAACTTTAAAAGTAATTTTAAAAGAAGAGTGTGTCTTTTATGCCTCTGCTGCTGTTTGTTCCCCAAAACACACATGCAAACATGTTGAAAAGAGAAATGTTGTAACACATGTTGGTTAACTGAAACACTTCTAACACGTCAGTTGCACGTTTTGGTCTGTTTCAACAGACTATACCTCATGTTTTCCATTTGAAACTTGTTTTCACATGAAGAGTCCCTTAAAAGAAAGTCAGTGTGTTGTAAATTCTGACTTGTTGAGTCCATCCTGTGGTCTCTGTATGTCTGGTTTCTAAATGAGTGTGGGAGCCCTGCTGAAAAGAGAAGTAAGGACAAGTATAATTTTCTGATGATGTCTTATGTTGCACAGTTCATACAATCTGGTGCACACAACCAGGGGTGGGATTTTGGGCCCGATTAAAAGGTCACACTGGGCCCTACCACCACAGGCTGTGCCAACCCTGCACAATGTTTTGTGGCCACCATAGTTTCTCCTACACACTTGGTGGTATTCAGTTAGTTACAATCTGCAACTTCACAGCTAGATGCCACTAAATTCTACACACTGCTCCTTTAAAAACTACCTTTGTAGGCTTGCAACTCTCTTACAGTCCAATATTTACTGTAATATCTACTGTGATGGCCCAAGCCACATCAGGGTAACAAAAAAGCCCCCCGCATGGTTAATACAGATACACAAGGCTGATTCATGTTTCAATAAGTACACAGATTAAGTTCTTTTTGCAGCACACCCCAAACAAATTCATTAATTGCACATATACATAGTTGATTTCGCAGTTCATGATATTACATTTATTTGCTTGTTAACCATCACTGCTTTAATAATGGGCTTGCCACACATTTCATGTTGTAGGTTAAGTAAATTTTTCTGTTTATATTAAATCATTGTTTCTTGGTTACCATGTGGAAGGAGGGTCTGGTCCTGGGGGGTTAAGAAACTGGTGTTGGCCCTAAAGGGTGGAGGCAGTTATATTCCTTTGTGGCACTGCACAGCCGTACCATTGTGCTGTCATGTTGGGAGGGGGGATTTTTGGGTTTAGTTCTGTCTTTACTTGTAGTAGTTGGTAATTGGCGTCCATTTTGTTTTTCCCCTTTGTGGGTGTAAATGTGGTTTTTGGGCCAAGCCACTTATATATCTTTCCCTTGGTGTCTCATTCGTGTTAGGTCAGTTGTTGGTCATAGTCCTGTTTGTTGAGTTCATAGTCTGTTTTGTTGGCAGTTCATAGTCTGTTTTGTTGTTTGTTGATATGCTGTTTTTGTGTATAGTATATTTTGTTGACCTCTTTTATAGGCCTAGTTGTTAAATTCTTGGTTTATTGTTTGATATTTTTGGGTTAATTAAAAAAGACCCTATTTTTCAACAAACTCCTGTTCTCCTCATTGCTTGACTGTTTGGTCCCTGACATCTACACACAGTGTGCTGTGAAAATATAACACTGCCATCATGCATGCAACATTCTGCATACAGTGGAATTCACTATTTGATTGTTTGTTTCATATACTGATCATTATGTGGACAAATAATTAGTGTGAATTTTTATCATTCAAAATTTCAAAGGCAGGGAGAACTGATTTAGTATGAATAGCTTGCTAAAAGTTTGCCTGCATGGATTAAATGTTGGCTGACAGAGGAGCCAAATGTAAATGTAGAATTTTCTGTGAAGATTAAGTTAGGAGCAAAAGTAGTTAATTTCAGTAAGGACTAAACTAAACTAGTTAATTGAGGTGGGGGAGGGGATCCTTATTTGTGGTGTAATTAACAAAACTCATGGTCCTCTATGAAGCAAAAAAATCCAATTATCCAATTTGCACTTGACCTATAAGATTAAAAAACCGCAAGTCTTTGGCTCATAGTCTACATTGTTCTGCACAAAACAAGTAAGAACGCTGCCATACATTTCTAGATATTTTTTAGATCATTTGGTTAAGGTGCAGTTGCATATTAAGTTTTGACTTACTTTAATGTTAAAAACTACTCTGGGTGAGTCCATGCGACCTGAAGTTTTCATCCTGGTGTGAGGAAACAATGGCATTTTTTTTTTTTTTGTGTAGCTTCCTGTGAGAGCAGCCTGCTGTAGGACACAGGTCTTCAAATCTCAGAAGGTAAATTCCTCAGCAGATACAAAAAACAAAAAACAAAAAGCAGCTCTGTCAAACTGCTTAGTCATCTGTCCAGTATGATTGAGTATCAGGATATCACAGATAACGATGAGGTGATCTGGAGAATTCCCAAAACACGCAACATCTTTTGCTTTCTCAATGGCCAGTTTAATGAACGGTATGTCCTGCATCTGTTACCTTTTAACCTGCATGTGTTAAAAACACTGGCAGAGCACTGCTGTTGTGTATGAAGGGCTTGGTTTTGTTAGTGACAAAACTCCTCTTTGCAACTGAAGACGCTACCCAGAGGTTCAGCACAATCTGCTGATGTGGAGTTCATGTTCTCTACTTTATGTGTAAATGTCATGATACCATTTTATCATCATTTTGATCCAGGACCAGAAGATGACATTTAGTCTCAAAAAGACTCATAATAATAAAGGAGTCAGGAATAATGGCTAAAAATGTCCACAGAAATGAATTATGAGAATGATATATTTGTTATTAATGTAATGTGTAAACACATATTCATTTAAAGGAGAAAGTTGTATAAAACCTTTTGTAGCTCCAGAGAATGCTGTGAAAATAATCTGAAAAACGTGTCCTCTATTGTTTGGGTGAACAATGTAATTCATTCTCATGACACAGCAGTACCTGAATATAACATTCTTTCTCCATTGAAGACATCTGAAAAGCAGGTTGTTTTGAGTGAGAAGGTAGAGTGAATCAAACGTTCACAGGCTGTACACGAACTAGAGTCTGAACTGTTTCTTAGATTTAGCTCTTTCTCTTAATGCTCTCAGAAGCAGGTAGTCCTGGATTACAGGAAGTGGATTCAGATCTGTTTTTAAGGTGCATGGTTGGCAAACTCTAACTCAAAGTCTGTATTAGTGTGACAAAAAGACACATAGTGGATCACAATGCAGCCGTACCCTGACAGCATGACATAAATTTACCAAATCTCTGTCCATTAAATTAATTCATTAATTAATAGTTAGTCATGTGGCTTTTGTTTACAAGGGCTCTTCTGCTTGCGATTAATCTTTGTGAATCCAAACGGAGTGGATACAAATTCTAACAAACTAAATTTTCCTGTTTTGTCACAGACTGGATTAGAATGTGGAATAGAGCTCTTTCACATGATCCAACCAGCAAGCCAATCTACAGCTTACATCACTGTAGAGTAGTCATGTAATGTAATTTGCAAGTATCTCTGTATTGGAAAATGTCCATGTCAAGATCAAAAGTATGTCAGAATAATGCTCAATGTGGACATCATAGTTTCTACACAGAGAGATGACAAAAGAGTGAGTCATATTACTATTACACAGCTGTTTTCAGATTTGTTATATAAAGGGAGGGTTTGGTAAGCGCCAAATCTTTTTGATTCAGGTACACTTTACTTCAGTGTCAAGTAGTATTTGTACAAGAATCTGACTGCGTTTTAGCAACAGCCTGCATCACTCACTGAGTGCCCACGTCCTGTTTCACTAGAACTATCATTCAAAGGAAAGGATCCCATTTTAGAACAGAGAAAACTTCTTGATGGGATCTTTACCCACTGATTATATCTAATAAGTTCACACAACATTTAAAAAAAATAAAAAAATTAAATGCATAAATAAAAACAAGCTCTTTTTCAAGCAATTAACAACTGTCTTAATGCTTAAAATTATCCCATTTTTAATGGATTGATTTAACGCATTAAAGGCTACAGAGTGAAAACTAAATAACAGAATTTTAAAAAAATAGTAAAGTATGAGCTTACTACAAATCTTTTCGCAGTTTGTTCCTCTTGTGTATTATCACGCTTTTTTCGGAAAGATACATCTCTGACAATCTTTTAAAAATTCAGATGTTTCTTAAAGTATTTCCAAAATCCACAAAGACTAAAATAGATTTTAGACCATTACCAAAGTTATGAGTCTATTTCCTAATCCACATAACGATGGTGGGCAGAAATGACATCTCTCTCTGCTCAATTTGTATAATGTGCACTAAATCTTACTAATGTTGTTCAGTCAGTCAGTTATATTTGTCTATATTAATGTTACTGGCCATGATTTTCATCCACAAAGTTTTTTGACAATATTTCTTGTGTTAAAATTAGCCTGTTAGCATGCCAGGCTAAGGCAACTCATTGGCTACACTCTCTCCCTGTCTTTCTTCACATAAGGCATCTTCTATTTACTGTCCTTGCAAGACAAATTAAACCCTTTTCACAGCAACCATTCTGACATGAAATAATACCGATAATAATAACAAATACTAGGGATGTCCCGATCTGATCTCAACGATCAGTATTGGTGCCAATCAAAGCATTTTTTAACTGATCGGTATCTGCTTTAATGACCTGATCAGATCCATTGTTTTAAGTCAGCTGTGACACAGCAGTTTTTACTCGTGCTTTCATGCACGGTGCAGCTATGTCATGGAATTTCACTGCAGGCGGAGCTGCCTCTGCTCAGAGTAGAGAGCAATATAGCCACACTCAACATGCCACTGTAAGTGCAACAAAAACCACACCAACATGAGTAATTAATTAATGTAATCCATGCAAAAGTACAGACGACAAAAATAATTACTCAGCAGAATACAGAGTTCATTCAGACAACTCAAGTAAAGGCTGCACCAAACACTGGAGAGACAATACCTCCAGCCAGCGACAACACCAAAAAGATTACAGAGAAGATCTATTATTTTAAAATTTTGTGTGAAAAAAAAAACCAACAACCGTAAGAAACAGCTTTGATGTTATTTAATTGTCAAGCATACAGTGGCTTGATATTAATAACTTTAATGTACTTGTAGTGGGCACTATGCACTGCATTATCTAAAAAACATATAAGTATCGGATAGGGACTCCGTATCTGCAAATACTTCATCAGATTAGGGGCTAAAAAAAGCAGATTAGGACAGGACTAATAAATACAGGTGTTACATACATATTAATTAAAATTCAGTTCTTATTAGTGTAGCAGTCTTTCCACTGAGCTAACATGCACAATAGCAGCACTCTGACTCTGTTTGACCTGAATGGAATACAACCTTAATTAGTATCATTGGTAACACATGTGTTTGCCCGACTATTTCTTGTCAAAATGGCTCCTGTGTAAAAGGTCTACTGGCACAGTCACAAAAATAAAATTCTTGAAAATAACCAAAGCTGAACCCACACAACAAGCTGGCTGGGTCTGGTGGCAGAAACCTACTGCATTACATCACTAATAAGATCTCTACACTGGTATCTCTACACAATGTGCACACACTCACGTACTGCTTTATAAGAAAAAATAGGGAGTGTCGCACATGCAATTACAGTATAGCTGATTTGTTATTCATTAATCATGAGGTAGAAACGCTGAAGAAACAATACAAAAGCTGTCACCAGAGCCTGTAAGCTGTTCTACTCCTCCAGTTTAACCACAGCAAATAGTTACTGTAGCTCTCTGGTCTACTGACTCAGTAACAGCTCTGGAACTAGTTATCCCACATCAGATGATGATCAAATTATCAGTTTTACAGCATATCGAAAATTATAACTAAAAATAAATGAATAATACACAACAACAACTTTTATTTCAGAACAAAAAACAAAATAGTTTATACCTCCACTGTAATAAGGTGGCAACAGAAATGTCAGAAATGAAGATGTATGACTTGATACTACTATTGGCGAGAAAACGGTTTCTGAAAGATGAATGAACAATTAGTCATTCTATGTGCAGATAGTTGGGGTGTGTGTGTGTGTGTAAATGTATGTGTGTTCTTGTCCTAAAACAAACAGAGATGTCCACCACTGATGCAAGAGGCAGATGATGCCAGAGGAACAGCTACAACAGTCATAAACACTTGTCAAACTAGACCACTGCCTTTCTTCACAATGAACCTGCAGAAATTCTCCCTGGCTGGCTGTGTAGGTCTTTGCCCACGATGTCTGTGGGTTCAGTGTGTGTATATACTATGTGTAGTGTGTTTTGAGGAGTCAGCAGACATGAGTGGTGAGCTGTACAGTACACTGCGTTACATTGGGAAACATGAGAAATTTCCATCTCAGAGGGGTGGGAACATTGAAAAGAGAGTGCAGGTTCCCCCTAAGCTGACAGGAAACTGACCACAAGCGGCCACAGTCCACGCTGTCACCACATCTGTCTGCTATCACTGTCACTGCTGGGACCGCAACGCTCACCTGTACACCGTGAGTACACTACTGCTGTTCGTGTGTCTATATGCAAGTGTGTTTGTACAGTATATCTATATAGATATAGGTTTTTTCATGTGTACTGATTGTATGTTTTTGTTGATTAATTATAGTAATATTTTAATTTGTTAATTACTATTAGTTTTATGTCTTCCACTATATAGACTAGACTAAAATATAATAATATGAATTTGTATATTTATATACATACTTTTATTTTTATATGCATACTTTTAATGCATTATTTTTACATGATAGTATTGCTATTTTTGTATAATTTTTGCATTACTATTTATATTTAGTAGTTTATATTTACTTTAAAAAGTCTGTGAATTTGAGGGAAGCTACCAGCTTGAGATTTATCCACATAACCTTTTGACAAAGTGAATCTACGTAATAGAAAATATTAAGCCTTCTAAATTTAATCAGTCATTAATTCCACATGATATATCTATAATTTATAAATACATATATGTATTTATATTTTATTTATGTGTATATACTATTATTATTCTTCGTATAAAAATACAATGTAATATTGACATTAAATCCAAAGGCAGTGAGAGTATTGCAACAAGGACTAATGAAACTGGCTTATTAACACTCTCTCATTGGACAGATACTGAGTTAAACTCCTATACAGTTTTAAAATTATAATTATATAATAAGCAAACCGTAAAATATGACTGACAGGAGTTTGGTCATTACAAATAAGCTCAGGTAGGATTTTCTGTTGCTTTAATTGATCAACTAGTCAAAGTTTCCATTCCATTCTAGACAACGTCACACTTACAGCACTGTGTTGTCATTACGACACTCCCACAGATTTTATGAATGGGATTTACCTTTCATGACAGCAAAGACTTTATCAGGGAAAAGATTATGCATGTGTGTGAAAGGCAAACAAAGAAAATAAATCTAATTCATTCAAATTAGATTTATTTTATTTTAGAGTTATGTAAGGGAAATGAACATAATTGTTGATGTTATTGCACTTACTACAGAATTCATTCAAATTCAACTTGCATAATTTTTTATTAGTTGCTTTCCCGATCATTGGGTAATGATGGATAAAAACTGTGGGATAGGGGCTGTGAACCTCCCAGCTTCTAAAGGGGGGCATCCCAGAAAATGTTTGAGAACAGCTGCAATCATAGCCGAGGAAAGAGAAGCAGAAGTGAAATTCAACTTGCTCAAAAATTCAACCACTGAAATGGTGATATAACATTGTGGCAAAAGTGATCTGCATGAACCAGAGACTTTAGCTTCCTGTCGGGCAAAGCCCAGCTTAAACTGATAAAGAATACAATAGAGTACAATAATGTGGAGTAGAAATACATTTTGTATTACTGAATACAATAAATATATATAGATCCAATATAATATAATATTTGAATAACAGATAGGATATTTATTGATTTACTAATGTTTGTATATAAACAGAATACATCAGGGTACAGTACAGTAAATAAAGCATGGTGCAGTAGACCTTACCAGATTGAGTAAGCAGATCAGATAATACCTAATAAACAGAAATGATTTTCAATTCAATATATATTCTATCACTCTAAATGCCCAGATCTTCATAAAATATAAGTATTACCCCATCATGTTTGTATAGCAAAATATAGGGGTGAAATATTCTATCACTCCTAAAATGAATAGATAAGTCTGTAATTTTTTTTCTATATATATTTTCTGAAACCATTAAAGGTTTGCTAAAACCTCAGAAAAACATGCCTTTATCTTTAATTATAAATAAATATAAATTCTATTATTACTGATGGTATTATTTCTGCTGACCTTTGATGTAAGTGGCATTTCACCATTTAATGTGACTCATCTCATGGGATTCCATCAGTAAATCCCTGAGGTTAAATTTGGCTGCTGAGTGTGGGGGTGGAATGACCAGGAGTGCTGCCGTTTCGATGACGACTCTAGTGATGTCACAGAACTTTTACAACAAAAGGAGTTTAAATTAAAGCTGGAAGTCATTAAAACTCTGAGGGGCTTGAAGAAACAACATCGGCAAAATCCCAGTAACTGGCATGACACCTGTCAGTGTTTCAGTTTTCCTCCATTAGTCTGAAAACAAGAGGACAACCCTGCTCTCTCAGAGGGCCCACTAGTTAGACGTCTGTACACATTTTGTCAGAGGTATATTTTTACTTTGGATTTTTGTGTCACTGCAGACTGCCATCATGGTCTGCTTGGTACTGATGTTTTGCTGTGGTCATCATCATCATTATATATATACAGCTGGAAGATCCACGCGATCAGATGATTGATCCCAATGAAACAATGACTGTCAGCTGCTGGCTGTTATTGTGCTAGCTAGGCTAGTTCAGTTTACAACAGACACTGTACTGTAGCGTTTTAATTCTGTTTCTGCTCGAAATCATCACAAACTTACTGTCGTTTTCTCTGCTCTGTGTCTTTTTCGCCATTCGCCTTTTTCTCTCTCCAAAGTGCGTTGTAATAATCAACAATCCCCTGCACAGAGCTACTGGCAGCAGGGGTGAAATTGCTTGGTGATTCACGGCATAAACTTTGTGTGAATCTCTATAAAAAAATAGCAGCAGGGTAGAATATGGAGACAACTGCACCAGCTGGTTAATAAATTAACCTCACCTTATAAGTTTCATGTTCATCTTGCACACATTTAACAAACAAAATAACTACGTTAGCGTCACTGAGGCTCCTGCAGCTAACAACTGTTAGCATGTGCTAGTGTTACACGAACAATGAAAAAGTATAAATTCTTAAAAATACTTACAGTTACTTCCTCTGTCGTCTTGCCACGGACAGTTGGTACTGCTCCCTCTTTCAGCAACAGTCTTTTGGCCAGTCCAGTATTGTACTGACCAAGGTTGTTAAAACAGTCCGACACGAAGTGGTTCGCACACATGTACAGACTTTTGACGACTCTAGCTGGGACATTGCCATCAAAAATAAAATGAATCCACTGTGCTTGTACATCGTCTGAGGCTGGGAGACTATGTAGAGATTTGTGCTGGGCTGTGCAGCCAAGGACAGAACAGTTAGCGTGATTAAAAAAAAAGCCTGAGGATTTGCAGTCTCCATTTCAAAAAGGAAGACTTCGAACTCAATGTCTTGGGAATGAAGAAAGTCGCTCTTTTGGATACCGCAATTCCGTTGGTGTTGACCTTTCCAGGTGACGATGAACCACCTGGAACATCTGGACCTAGCAGCGCTAAACGCATTCGCTTGGAGGTAAGAGACTCGCTCAACTATTTCTAAAAACACACATATAGTTGTCTGCAGTAAAGCAGGACATCAAATATGAGTTGTATATAAGTTGGCTGTTTACATAGGAAATCTGCCGTCTTCCGCATGTTTTTTTCGCTTGTGGTTCTAATGTGTCGGTGTCACTAAAATTCCACTCAGTGAAGAGGCAAATTAGCAATGTAACGTTATAAAGACGCTTTAGCTATGTTCTATATACGTTTGCTGGTATCAATGTAAATCCACCTTGTTTCACGTTTGATAGTTTGATGTTGTGAAAATGTTTTTAACGTTATTTAACATATGGCATTTCAGACTGAAACAGTGTCTGCTGCTGCTTTGGTGTCGTCGTCGTGGGAAGATGATGAACAATGTTTTCTAACCTCAACACCAATCAAGACACCTACCCCTGTCCAAGCAGCACAGTTTGTAAGTTTGTACAGCATATTGTCTCTAATGGAGTTCGAAGACTAATGTATGATTGAAATTAGTGGAATTTAACACTGAAAAGAAACCTCTTTTTGATTTTACAGTTACCATGCCCAAGTACACCTGGAGGCCTCAATACGAGTGCCAGCAGCATTGAAGTTGGTGTAACCGACGAAAGCTATCAGCTTGAGTCAACCATCACCCCCACAACATCGTCATCATCAGAAGATGAAGGTGGAAAAGACTGGAGTGAAAAGTTCATTGTCAATGAATCTAGCCTCATGTCACTATTTAAATTCTGCCAGATGTGCGGGAAACCAATTTCATCGAAGCACATTTTTGATACTGGGGCACAGAGGAAGGTGAAATGGACTTGTCTTGGGGGCCATTCTGGGACTTGGACATCTTCACCTGATGTTAGAGGAATGCCGGAGGTGAATCTCCTTTCTGCGGCAGCTGTTCTGTTCAAGGGTGGAACATACACGGACCTGTCAGACTGGTGCAAAACCGTGGGTGTCCAAATGATTGCACAAACTACATTTTACGCCATCCAGAAGGTGTACTTGCACCCTGCTATTGAGAACTTGTATGAGGAGAGTTTATTTGGAACAGGAGGATGGGAAGCGGCCACACTTGGCAGGGGATGGCCGATGTGACTCGCCAGGTTTCAATGCGCAATACTGTCACTACACGTTTATGCTAGATGATACAAAGGAGATACTCCACACAGAGCTAGTGCAGGTAAGATACATATAAATGCATGCAGAATCACAATAATGGAAAATTACTACTGCTATGAAAACTTTAATAACATCAAACTTATCAAACTTGAATCTTTAGTCCACAGAGGCCACCAGCTCTGGAGCCATGGAGCCACTGGGTTTTAGACGGGGAATGACAGAGCTTCTGGACTTGGGCCTTGACGTGGAGGTGATGACCACGGACCGCTCCTCATCAATACGGAAGATAATGAGGGAACAATATCTTAATATCCAGCACGAATTTGACATCTGGCACACAGCCAAAGGTATGTATTTTTTGCTATTCTTGTAAACACACACACGCAACTCTCCAGACTTTTCAGGACATACCCCCATTGACACCTCATTGTGTCACTCCTCACCCCCTCCCAAATCTGTGCAGCTTTGATGAACTCAGCCATTGTAGAGGTGTGATTTTTTTCATTCAACAAAACAACAAACAATCCACACGTCTACACTGGCTGAGGGAAGCAAAGCTTTGGCACCAGGTGAGGTGTGTAAGGTGTGAGGGTAACTCAATTATCATATACATAGTTGAACAAAAGGTTATCAGACCAGTTTGGCTATAAGGGCCAAATCAATTTACATGGAGACCAACCTTTCTACCATTTTACATTGGAATAAACCACTTTGCTGTATCAAGCCAGAAGAAATAGAAAACCATTCCTATTTTTCTTACATTGCCGGTATGCTGACAAATAAATTGCTGTGGTGAGCTGATCACCACACCTGTACTTCTACCTAATTCCCAGTGACAAGCCACACCCTGTGCAATAGACCACCATGTGGGTAAAATAAGTAATAGCTAAATCTAAACTAAAAGGTGGATATAAATGGCTCTGACAGGGTTAATAGGGACAATACAGAAATAAATGGAAAATGTTGGTGTTTTACCAAAATTGTGCTGCATTTACGACCACAGGTTTCTGGAATAAAATACTGACGAAGGGGGAAAAAAAGGACACTGCAATCCTTCTCGCATGGACCAGGTCAGTGTTGGTTTGTAATCTTGCAGAAGTTCCATTGGTTTACAAGGTTGGAAATGACTAATTTCAATATCTTTCACAGGTCTGTCGTAAACCACATGTGGTATAGCTGTGCCACAAGTAAGGGGGACATAGAGGTAAGGAATCAAAAGCTGCAATAAAGTTTCTATCCGATGTGTGCTTTTTAGCATTAGTATTATTGAAACACTTTTCTTTCACAAAGGCACTGCAAAACCGTTGGAAATCCATTACACACCATGTTTGCAACGAACACGAGTGGAGAGATGATGACGGAAAACAGCATCGGTGTGATCATCCTCCTCTTACCGCCCAGGACCAGAGGATGCGGATGTGGATTGACAAGGACTCAGTGGCATTGCAGGCCCTGTCGTCACTGGTCCTAAACGAAAGGCTCTTGAAAGACCTCAACCAGATGGCACTCTTCAAACATACTGGTGAGAATAGATGCACTTTTACTCTTGCATATTTTTCTATATCCTAATGAACATGTTTTAATTAGTCCTATCCATCCTCTATGTAATTGCACACAGGGCCACTGGAGAACTTTCATAGTGCTCTGCTGAAATACCTTCCCAAGCGGCAATACCATGGAATGAGGGAGAGGTGCCACCTCGCCATCCTCGACCACAATGAAAACATTGTGAAAAGGAAGCAAGCCACCACAGTGACAGGTTTGTTATCATGTGCTCTTCGAATAGTATAATAACCAAAATTAGAATGTTAACAGCTAACTGAATTGGCATACTTTGCTGAAAGGTGTAATATATTTATTGGGGAGAGAAGTCTACTACAATCAAGTCGTCATTTATATTTTATGTGTTATTATATTCCTTGTCATTTACAGGAGAAGCACGGTTCAAACAGGTGTACTGCAAGAAGTCCAAGCAATGGATATTGAAAAAAGTCTTCACACCACACACAACGCAGTTTGTCGGAGACCTAATCGAGAGGGTCCTGGAAAGTAGACGCAACCCGAACATCAAGTTCAAAACCCCAACC